TGATTTGTAACAGAGGTTAGATGTAGATGTCTATGGGCCGCAGCAACCACTTACCATCAGGTGGACTGTGTGCTCGTTTGTCACCCTTATCCTATAAAAAAATTGCTAATAGATTCGATTCGATTGCTATTTGATTCGAGCTCCGTAAGCGGGTCTTGTCTGTCTCATAAAAAACTGTAGTTATCAAATATCCCCATATATAGCAATCTATGGGGGAGATCTATGTTCAGCAGTAGACTTTTGATAGGCTATAAAATTAAAGATGACCTGGTGATGAACAGCCAAATTGAGTGCGAGATGTATGGTACTACAAACATCAATTTGTGTGCCACAGTGATTATGGCAACTCCTCTAGGTCAGGCCTATTTCAGGCTCGGGGATCATTTACAGGCTGTTAAAGTAAGTACCTGGTGTGATGGTATCCACTGCAAAGTAATATCTCTTTCTGCTGAGTTAATAGGCACAGCCCATGTACGGAATGCTCTTAAAATTGAAGATCCACATGGAATACAAATATATGTTATATAAACAAACTGCACTAGATTAAACATTTATGTAATAACTTTCACCACAACTAGTTGAGCTCTCGTCGTTTCCAACATGTATTTTATACGTGGTAGAGCCATGCTGCAGCTATATTAATAGTATAGTTGTAGCACGAATGAGTCGGCTCGAACGGGGAAGGACCTCGCTCTCACAGAATACCAGCGTAAAATAGCAGCATAACACTGCTGTGTTTCGTATGGTGAGTGTAGAGAACCGGAGACCCTTTTTACTGGAAACGAGGCATTCCATCTTAGTCCTCACGGGTGACAACGCATCTGCATTTTGATTCTTAATCGAAGTTAGATGTAGATGTCTATGGGCCGCAGCAACAATTACCATCAGGTGGACTGTGTGCTCGTTTGTCACCCTTATACTATAAAAAAAAACGTATACTTAGTTTTTTTATCACTAATTTAAATTCGAATTTTTCAAACAAAGCAAAATATAAAAAAATCAACCAGAATCAACTGTTTTGCTTGACGTTGTTTCAGTATCGTTATGTGTACCTTACCGTAGGGATTGGATGGTTTGATATAATCGGTAAAAAATTATATAATCTATAATATAATATTTTTTAATAATTTATTTTCAAAAATATTAAATGGTGTTTTTTTATTTTCAGAGCTGCACAAATTCTATGAATCATGACTTAAACAAATCTAATTTTTTTTTATAATTTCTGTGAATCCCACTGCGGCGAAGTTGCCAGTAAGTTTAAATGGTAGTATAGAGTCATTGAGATATTACATTCCGATACAAAAAAATACAAATTCAAAATAATCATTTAGAGTTATGAATGCAAAGAACAACATTTTGACGAGAAATTAAAAATATAACAATACAACTTTCATTGACGAAAAATGGTTAAACGCGAACTGCACTGTGCCGCAGACATGGAAAGAAGACCGTGGGAATAGGTCGGAAATAGGTGGGACGATGTTACGACTGGGTTATTTTTCACATCGTACCTAAAGACTGTATGGCCTATAAAGTGATTTTAGGTCAGGAATTTCTAAGAAATGTTGTCATGGTTATGCGCGAGGGTTCCGTCTTGTTGTAACCTGAAGGTGAGGAATGGTTGACGAGAGTGAATTGTTGTGTGAGTGAGGTTGATATTGCAGGCCACATCCACGACGATGGCATTAAGGCAGAGGTGGAGCAGCTCGTGACGCAGTATAACCCGGTCCAGGCGAAAGAGGCGCCTATCGAACTCAAGATTATACTTAAAGATGACATCCCAGTGGCGCAGCACCCAAGAAGACTTGCCCTGATGGAACAGAAGATAGTGGAAGATCAGGTAGACGACCTTGTAGGTCCTTGTAAAGAAAAAAGATGGTTCAACTAGAGTATGCATTGACTATAGGCAGTTGAATAAGAAGATGGTTAAGGATGAATTTCCTTTACCATTGATCGAGGACCTAATTGATAAGTTGAATGATGCTAAGGTGTTCAGTGTCCTAGATCTTAAAAATGGTTTCTTCCATTTAAGAATGAGCAAGGAGTCCATACCCTACACATCGTTTGTCACGCATCATGGGCAGTGGGAATTTCTGAGAGCACCATTTGGTCTCTCCGTATCGCCGAAGTATTTCATGAGGTTCATCACCATCATATTTAGAGACTTGATACAAGAAGGTGTTATGATGATATTCATAGACGATATTGTTATTCCAGCGCAGACGAAGGAAGATGCTGTACAGAGATTAAGACGAGTGCTGGAGGTGGCTGCTGAGTACGGGCTTGAAATCAACTGGAAGAAGGCGAGGCTGATACACCACGAGATTGAATACTTGGGACATCTGGTCAAAGACGGGTAGGTACAACCAGTCCGGATAAGATTGAAGCAGTCGCACAATACCCTGAGCCTGTGAATGTCAAACAGATCCAAAGTTTTGTCGGGCTGACTTCCTATTTTAGAAAGTACATAAGAGGCTATGCACAGATAGCGAGGCCGCTAACAGATTTGATGAGGAAAGATGTGAAGTTTGTTTTCGGGCCTGAAGAGCGACAAGCGTTCAACATTTTGAAGCAGAAGCTAACGAGTGAACCAGTACTGATGATTTTTGACCAGAAGCTGCATACAGAACTTCATTCAGATGCATCTAGCATAGCCCTAGCCGCTATTCTCATGCAGAAGAATGAAGAAAGAGAAATGCACCCTATATATTACAGGAGCAGAAGGACGAATGACATTGAAAGTTGTTATTCAAGCTATGAGCTTGAGGCACTCGCAGTAATAGAAGGTGTGAAAAAGTTTCACCACTACCTCTTTGGCAGGTACTTTAAGATTGTCACAGACTGTGAGGCATTGGAGCTTACCTTGAAGAAGAAGGAGCTAACACCAAAGGTGGCCATGGTGGGTATTACTTCTCAGCGAGTATGACTATGATGTCGAACATCGAGCGGGATGCAGGATGCCACACGCAGATGCGGTCAGCAGAATCCCATATGTAGCTGCAATGGTAACATTGCACGAGTAGATCAGCCAGGCGCAAGAAAGAGATGAAGACCTCAAGGCTATAAAACAGCTGATTTTGACAAATGGCCAGTATAATGACTATTATGTGGAACAAGGATTGCTTTACAAAGGTGATCAGAGACAACTGGTGGTTCCCAAGCTAATGGAAAAAGAAGTAATCAAGGAAGTACATAGCAATGGTCACTTTGCTATGCAGAAAATGAGAGAAGCAATAAGCAAAGATTATTTTATAAAGAATATGGACAGAAAAATCGAAGGAGTGATTACCAGTTGCATACCGTGTCTGCTAGCAACCCGGAAAGAAGGCAAACAGGAGGGATACTTAAACCCTATTGGAAAAGAAGGGACTCCGTTGCATAATTTGCATCTGGACCACATCGGACCGCTAACTGAGACACGAAAGATGTACAATCACATACTTACAGTAGTCGACGGATTTACTAAATTTGTGTGGCTGTACCCCACAAAGTCAACGACTAGTGCAGAAGTAATAAGTAAGCTACAGTTGCACCAAGAGACGTTTGGAAACCCTGTACGTATCATAACAGACAGAGGCACAGCTTTTACCAGTGGAGCATTTAAGAAGTAGTGCGAAGAGGAAGGTATACAGCATGTCATCATTACAACCGGCATACCAAGAGGAAACGGCCAAGTAGAGCGGGTTCATCGGATAAGGATACCCATGCTAACGAAGCTGTGCATCGAAGACCAGTCACTATGGTATAAACATGTTGGACGTGTGCAAAGAGCAATCAACAGTACTTCCCAGAGAAGCATAAACACCACACCGTTCCAACTGCTCACCGGAACCAAGATGAATTGCAAGGAGGACGTAGAGATATTAAACTTGCTACTCCAGGAAACTATAGCGCAATACTGTGAAAGCAGAGAAAGTTTAAGGCAGAAGGCCAGAGACCAAATTCAAATTAATTAATTAATTAAAAAAGCTGTTAAACGGTGAAAATAAAACAAACTATTCATTATTCTCGATTTTTATTAAGAGGCCTTCCAAAATCTCACATACAAGTGGTAAGAGCTTCTTATATATTTTTATAAATTCTATAAGTAATCAACAGTCTTCAAAGTTGATTACTTATATAGAATTTATAAAAATTGCAAACAGGAGAGGAGACAACTTGTCACTTTGTGGGACACTAGCAACGGTAGCAGTCCAAGAGAAATACACATCCTGTACTTCAATACGCTGTCGGCGCCCAAACAAGTAACTATGAAAGCAGTCAGCTATAGTCGGAAATATATTGAGAGAATGAAATATATTTCACAAGATATCTAAACTACTGTATTAAATGCATTGCTGAAATCGAACATAGTTTATATTGTTAATTTTTGATTTTCCATACCATAACGAATGTCATCAGTAATTTTAAAAGTACTGTAGTTGTACTATGACCCGTGTTAAATCCGGATTGCAAGGGATTAAAGATGTTACGTTCTAGTTGATAAGAGCTAAGTTGCTTGGACACTAGACGTTCTAATACTTTATATAGGAATGGGACTAAATAAATAGGCCGGTAATCGGAAAAACATTTCGGATTGGTCGTATTAGGAAGGGTAATCACGTTGACTTCTTTCAAAAGAAACAGTTTTTGTCAGTACACGGTTAAAATATTGAATTAAAAATAAGCAAGTATAACAGATTAATTATATAATTTGTTAAACCACAGTCTAAGAAGAATTTGATAAAAATAATTATTCTAAAAAAACCAATACCAATTTATAACCTATGAAAAATGGAAGTTGTTGGCACATTCCCAACAAACGAAGTCAGCAACTTGGCATTTTTCAGCGCCGAAAAATTTAATTTCGAAGTATCATTGATTTACAGTGCCATTTTCCGTAGCTTAATATAATTCAGACACATCTCTTACATGAAGACAGGACAAGAAGAAAAAAAACTTAAGTCTATCACAATTATAATTAAACTAGCTAATTAATTCTAATATTCATCGCTCCCTCAATCGTAGCTTTCAGTATCAAATATAGTGTTCTCATCATAGTTACACCTTTTTTTCCACTCGTCAACGTTTAGCACATAGGGAGAAGTGATAGCATAGAACTTCTCAAGGTCGCACAGCGGTTTACCACAACCTTGTATCTCTAGGTACTGCACTTGCTCACCAGGAGCTTTCACGTAAATTGGCTGGAAAAAATAAATGATTTTATATGTTACGATACGTACTCATAAAAATCTTACAAAAACAGTATTTCAGTTGTATTATTAAAAAATTTATTTAAACTATCTATAATACACATAAATCTATACTGCACATTGAAGTTTTTAGAAATTTGAATTGGGGTACACTATGTTATCGATAAAGATGCCAACCACATATTTTGTTTTTGGAAACGTTGTCTCTCTGTCTGTCTGGACACGTATCATGCAAAAACCTGTGAACGGATTTGGATGGGACTTTAACTAAGGTATTACGTAAGGATTGAGCCGTTAGAATAAATATATATCATCACGCTACCTATCAAAAGAGATTACATTGTCATAAGATTGGAAAACTACAATATCTGATTTTGTTAATTGAAACTGATTTTTACGGATTTTATCACGTTTAATTTAACCTTTTAATTCCCGACGTTTCGGGTGCTTTACAGCACCCATGGTCGTGTGGGGGACTGAGGTGTTTGTACCCATGAGGAGATGGCTGTACCCATCAATCTTCTCTATTAAAATTAGTTTTGTTACGAGCTTGGGGTTCGAGACAATTAAAAACTGCCGATTGAATTACCACAATTGACACTTTAATTACACAACACTAATTACAATCTAAAACCACACTAATAATAAAACACAATCACTTTAGTTCGCAGACGGAAAGATAGACGTCGGCTTATTGTTCCACGCTTTTGGTGTACGCATTACAAAATACGAAGCAAAACTTTTGGTTCTAATGCTTGGAATATCGACAACAAAGGGGGGACTACCCACCAACCACCTGGTTGTCCGAAGGTGGAAAGGAGAGGGAGGAATTAAAGCATGTAATTCCTGCGCACACTCACCGAAATGCGTCCTGTAGAATACCGAGAGACTGGCTGCTCTGTGCCTGTACTCGAGGCTGACAAGATTGATTTCAACCAAATCAAAGTCACCAATGAGCCTCTTAGCACGTCTCTCCACTAAGTCCAATGCTGACGGGTGGCATTTTGCTGCACCAGCCCATATGTGACTGCAGTATTTTAAGCACGACCGGGCTTGCGCTTTATATAAGGTAAGAAGCTGCTCCGGCGTGAAGTACCACCGCACCCTTGCAAGGACGCCAAGTTTCCTTGCGGCTGCTTTGGCTCAACCATAGCCTCTCTTTCTGACTAAATTTGATCTCGACTGGACCGGGCACTTAGTTGGTATCTCTCCACAACTGTGCTGTCGTCTGCATACCCATAGATATCGAGACTGAGCAGATCATTTATATGTAGGAGGAAGAGAGTTGCGGAGAGAAAGGACCCCTGAGGAACACCGGCGTTAGTCGCCACAGTATCGGATGAAACTTTTATTTATTTTCCTAAAATCTTGCCTAAAATTGTTATAACGAAGGTAAAAAGTTTGTGTGGAAAAAATAATTATTTATTGCATAGTGGTTAGGAATAGCTAGGGATATAATTATATCACTGTTTCAACCCTCTTACTGCGACATATAGATATTCTGAATAAAACACTTACCAAAACGACATATCTTCCCGTTTCCACCACTCTCCTTAATTCCAGAGCAAATAACCCCGCATACAGTGGTACGCCCTGTCTTGGTATTGCCTTGGATATCGCCTTGAAGGCATAAACGTTGTAACCGTGCGCTGAATAAATCCTTACTTTTTGAGTGGGCACCCCAGCAACTGCTGATGCGGATACTTCGAAGAATTCTTTTAAAAGTAGACCTGTAGATTTCAAGATCCTTTGAGTTTTTTATTCCTTCATTAATTCATTCATTACAGCCTACCACGTAACCTCGTTGATCAAGTGGTCGTAAATCCCGTTGCTGATCACGAAGTCTCAAATTCAAATCCCGAGTCAGACCAATCAGCCCAGAGGCAGGAAGTTGACGGTGTTTTACCCTCGCTTTGGAAACCACGTAAAGCACTCGTGCATTACAATCCTGTCCTGCAGAGATGGCTACTCTCTGTTGAGACTGGCTGGCGTGACCGTAATTCGGTCTGGAAATCTATTGTGATGAGAATTCATGAGATTTATAATTAATATGAGAATTATTATTATGACAGCACATCGCCAGGCCACTGCGGAATATAAACCTTCCCCATGGTTTACCGCATAAAACATAACAACCGCTACTAGTACCAGTATGCTGTGTTGGCAACAATCTACTATTTTATATTCAGGTATTCTGACCACTGGGTGCTGTGCAGCGTCATCATGAGCTTCGCTTACTTACCAGCTTGTAATGGCAGCGTGGTATCGTTAGCAATGAATATATCAAATGCTTCTTCAGCCGCTTTTTTTATGTCCGGTATCATTTTCTGTATGGATGGTTTAACAGGAAGACCCATATTTATCTGAAACCCATATTATTGACACTTTTAACAATTGGTTCTTTATAACAAAACTGTAAATACGTATAAACATTCACGCCTGTCACCTAGAGGGGTAGGAAGAGACTCGGGCTTAAAACTCGGTCAGCGCCGAGGCTTCGTTCTTTTTTAAATTCATATATTTTCAAATAAAAATTGCAGATTAGCTAATTATTCATGTCATTTAAATGATAGACGAAGTAATGCCTTTAAATGGAATTGTTTGAATTTAGTTGATTCGACTAAAATCACATTTAGTACATCATACTTTATTTTTTATTTTTTTACTATTCTTAGCCAACGCTTGACTACTATCCAGCCTGATGGTAAATGTTGATGCAGCCGAAAATAGTAAAGCACACTGACTTAAGAAGAGCCTATTCTCTCTTGCCTTGAAAATACATTGTAATCGTATAAAAGGCAGATGCTGGCAACTTATTCAACTCCTTTGCTGTACGCATGACGAACAATTACGATGTTCTTTAAATGTAATATTGTTTCAAAATGTGATTTATCTGTAAAGTAACGGTGACAGAAAAATCGCGAGTCCTTTATTTGTTATTTTATTGATTTTTAATTTTTATATGAATGCAATTATTAATTGCAATTTGAAGTGTTGATTTATTCCGTTCTGGGCGATGAAGATGAGACATAGGTAAGATAAAGAGGTGAGGACCAGCATTTCTGAAAAATAAAATGTTTGGAGAATAAAAGAGGTTAGACAATCGCAATGCCGATTTCTTAAGTCGGAAATAAAGATTTCTTTTTATAAAATTGAAGTGATAAACGATCTTATCGACATCTGCAAACTTATTATCGTTGTAGCAAAAATAGATTAGCTCAACTTGAGAGGACCATGTTCTCACAGAACCAGAGTAAAATAGAAGCTTGCTGATGCTGTGTTTTATATGGTAAAGAGTAGAGGAATTGTTCATTTTAACTGTTAACGAGGCATTCCATCTTAATCCTCAGGGGTAACAACGCATCTATTTATCATCTATTTTGATTCTTAATTAAAGATGTAGATGTCCACCGACCACAGCATCCACCAACAATCAAGTAGACTCTGTGCTGGTTTGTCACCCTTCTTCTATAAAAAAAAACATATCTAAATAATCGCTATATAGATTTTTATCGGCACTACGCTGCATCTTCAAAGATTGATATGAATGGATTAGTGACTTATTTGTCATTCAGTATTCTTACCTGACTAATGAATCCGTCATATGCGTAGAATATTTTAACTGGATTATTTTTTATAATGTCATTTTTTAGTTCTGAGGAAAGTCGATGCAGCACGTCACTATATTTCACCATTTCAGGAATATAAGTATTTGTTAATTCTTTATAATGCTCCTCCAACCTTGGGCAGTTAAAGCCCATTAACTGGAAAATGTTTATAAAAAAAATATCAATTTATATGAAGTAAAATATGAACTACGGGACATTGGATTCTTATCGAATAATTAAAATGCATCATGCAAAAACTTGATCGTGTAGTAGCAGTGTAAAACTTTCGCTATCACATATCGTTCTGTGGCTTTCATAGGAGCCAACAGACGGCAACAAACCAGGAGATGGGCAGTAACGTCTTCCTAATAGCAACTACAAAATAAAAATATAACTTCCAAATATCTTCCTTATAAGGCAATCAATTGCGGTTGCGTTCTGCAGGTTGCCGCTGTGTTTGGCACTATATGTTGTCCGATTGGGACGTGACGCGAATTTTTTGCATCCTACCCTTGGCGGGTTTGCTTCTGGCCTGAAGATTCCAACGTTGTTGCTGAATCTGTTGCTGATGTTCTACTTCAGGGAATGGAACATTTTATTCCATCACCTGTGGTGCCTACCGGGGGCAGAACTCTGCCATGCCTTGGTCACTCCTATAAAATTCAGTCTGCAGTGAGCGCACGACACAGGCGCACGCGTATAGTTAAAGGTTTGCACTCTTGTTTACGTATCTACGTCATACGACATACAGCATATATCACCAAACTTATTTATTCGTAATTGTAGTCATTGATACTGTTACTTCAACGATAAATATCTGTGAATCATGTTCAAAAGAGTTAAATAATGGAGCGCAATGCTGTTTGTAAAGATCACTACGACTTTGGTTGTGCTGGTATAACGGAGTGGGGTTTTCGGAACTTAACTCAATGGTCCATCCAAGTTCCGAAGTCACTCCTGGTGGCGATTCTGGTAGGGCAACGGCGACCTTGGATGTTATTCTGAAGGAGATTCGCGAGATAAAGAAGCTGGTTACTAATGTTCCAAGTCTTACCGAGGACGACAAATCTATTATAGTTGAATTAATCCATTTAAAGGAGTCTTGTGAGTACAACAGTAGTTCACTTAAATGTTTTCAAGACCAATTCCTCAGTTTGGAACCTGGTGTATCTCAAACAGAAAGGGTTCAAAATTCTCCCGCTGTAGGTAACAAGGAGATAGAAAATCTTAAAAGTGTTATTGAGACAAAGGAACAATGGTCACGGCTTAGTAATGTAGAGGGCAGAGAGAAAGGGCATCCCCCAAAAGCCCAATGAAAACCTATTGGAAATTGCGGAGTCTATGAGTATGAATTCTAAAAATCTCAAATCTAGTACTAATGTTTAATACCAAAAAGAAAGCCATCATAATCAATTTTATAAATCGTTATACCAAAGATAAAAAAGTGTAGCGGTAGCACGCGCGTGCAAAACGAAGATCTCTGGAGACGAAAGATGTTGGATTTGGAGGTAATCGACAGCGCGTTTTTGTAAATGGTCATTTGATTTCGGAGCACAAAAAATTTCTTACCAAAACAAGGACCTTAGCAAAAGATCGAGGTTTTGTTGCAGGCTCCTTATGACTTGCTGCTTCCATAAGTAAACAGCAACAAAATATTTACTAACGTTTTTTAAATTTCCCGTATAGGCAGCATGTACACATTTAATTTGTAACTTATTACTTGATGCAGCTTATCAACCGATTTTAGGTTATAGTAGGTTGTCTAGGAGTTATTGCTCTATTTATTGATCAGCAGCAAACTACTCTTTAATTTGGACTTTCAGAAACAGTATTAAAACATAACTATTTTTTTATATTTTTTTTTAATTCTTTATATTATTTTTGCATTATATTTCAGCAACTAATTGGCAACAAATTACCCCGTTTTATCCGCTATGGCGGGGTTGATTGAAAGTTTTTACTGCTATCTTGTATCTAATGTAAAGATCGCGATGTTGACAACTAATTGGAAACAAATTAGCAACAAATTCTTGGATACAATTTTAAAGTTTCTGCTGACTTTTTACTGCTATCTTTATAGAGGTTGTACATTGCCCCATGAAGGAATTACCGACTCTTTGGAGTCGAGTATCTGGTATAACTAACTTGTGCTTGTTCTCCTAGTATTTATAGAATGTATATCACTATTTTTAATAAAATTATCGAGAGATTTACGACCACCCGACCCGGCAGGGGCCGGCCTATCTACCGAAAAGGGGTTTCGGAGGGAGATTAGGTCGCAACCCGCATGGCACTCGAACAAATGATACATGCGAGTCTCAAAATAGAAAGTAACCGACACGAGCACCGGAATTTTATGCCGGTGCATCGTCTAACCGCTCAAGCTTAAATATCAAGTTACGCGTACAATCGGGTTTGGATCCTGGTTATATTTTAACTGATTTAATTTAACGGAAAAACGTAAGAACGACCATTTTGCACTTAAGAAATACATAGCGAAACGCATGCGCATCAAATCAAGTATACAGATGTGAAGGATATCGTTGTCAATAAGTTATTGTATACTCCAATAACAAATTGTTCATTAAAATTCCTCTTAACATTAATATCGTTTTTTACTATTTTTTGTTTTCCTTTTTAGCCATGACAAACAAACTTACAGACTGCCTGGTGGTAGTTGACTACTGCCTGTCCCTGGACGCCTTCAACCAATTTCAAACGAAGAAATGTATAGATTCGATGATGCAACCTATGAGATCTGAGATGAAATGCCTTATAGACTGTTATTACCAGTATCTAACTATCCATTACAGCCTTTAAAAGTCAACTGTTGAACATAGGTCTACCACATAGTATGCTTCTTAGTTTGAGTTGTTATCAAGAAGATGCTGATGCCTATCTACTGTTTCAGTTTCCCTCTGTCGCCAATAACGACACCCACTGTATTATTTATAGTAGTGGATATTCTTACAGCGCCACTACATGGAAATTTCGAGAATCCAGTAAACTGGCAAACAAAGAGACCTGTAGCCTTTTTTGTTGCTTGTCAGTGACGCATCTGCGTTACGTCACTTCTTTTTCCTCTTCATCAGCTATAATAGTCCTTTGCTGTACACGGGCCTCTTCCATAGACTGCCTTATAGAGGAGAGATTTACATAGTTGTCACGCTTGTCGGCAACCGAAGTTTTTACAAGTTTGAATTGCTATCAGGAAGATGCTTTTGCCCATCACCGACTTCAGTTACCCTCTGTCCTTTTTTTTTACAACCTTCTTGATTATATGGGTATTGGATGGTGTTAGCATGCTTTCAAAATATATTTTATCCCTCAGACATGCAGGTTCCTCACAATGATATCTCTCACGTGAACTTTTTCATGTCACAAAAAAAAATTCAATTTTGTAGTCTGGTTGCTCATAAATAGGTCGTGCTACAGGCTACATTACAACTACATTATACTGTATTATGGTTATAGAGCGAATGGATCAGCTAGACCGGGGAGGACTCTTTTCTCACAGAATGCCAACTTGAAAGAGTAACGCATCTGCACTTTGATTCTTAGTCAAGGATAAATATCATGGACCAAACCATCCACGTATCGTCAGGTTGACTGTGTGCTCGTTTGTCACACTTATTCTTTTAAAAAATGCTAACGTACAGTGGAATTTATGGCGAGCAGCAAAAAATCAACCACGTAAATTTGAATAATTAAATAAAACTACTTTTACGGATTCTATCGCATTTAACAAACTTATTTTTAAATTCCCGACGTTTCGAGTACTTTTTAGCACCCATGAACACACAACTGACGTGAAACACCAACGTTCCGGGAAGTATTAAAACTAAACCCAAGCATAGCACTGCAAGACTTCAAGACACAGTAAGTTCATTCTGCGCAGATCGGGCCAAAACGAATAATTAAAGAGCTGAAGGTACACCGGGTTAAATCTGACATCGGGACGTCAGTCACCTCAGGCCCCCGTGGGGGTCTCGGGTGTTGTAAAGCAAACGAAACGTCGAGTATTTGAAAATAACTTAATTAATCAAATCAAATCAAATCAAATAATTTATTTGCAATCCAAGTGTACATAATTGGTCTTAAATTAAAAATGTGCTTACAACTTAGACGCCCTTTTCAGGCACTGCAAATTTGACAAGGGCACTGCTTATATACTATTAACATACATAAAATATTATTAAAAGCTATAAAAATATAAAAATATATAATAATGTTATTTTATATCTAAATACTCTTCTACTGAGTAGAAGGGGTTTTGTTTTAAATATTTACCGAGTCTTGATTTAAATTTCGTTAATTCTAATATATTTTTTATTTCTTGTGGTAATTTATTATATATTTTTATTGCCATATAGTAGGGGCTTGCATTTTACATTTTTGTTCGCGACTGTGGTAGGTATAATTTATTTATGTTACGTGTATTTAAATTATGTGTAATCTTTAAACGCGATAGAATCCGTAAAAGTAGTTTTATACATTGCGTAGTGTTCGCGTAAATTTAAGAAATCATAAAATAATTAATTAACGACGGATCCGTGGCGCAGTGGCTTAACAATGAGTTGTTTCACTGGGGGCCACTGGTTCGAATCCCACACGGAACCAGTATTTGTATTTCCTACAAATAATTGTTCCGGGTCTAAATGTTTGTCCTCTTGCAATTTATGTTTGTAAACTGCCTCCACAACACAGGAGAAAATCTTACTGAGGTGTAAACGTTTTTAATAAAAAAAAATTAATAAAAAACAATTAAAAACAATAAATTTGAATTAACTTACAAAGTCATAACGCATTGGTACTGTGGTGTACGGTACTGGAACCCAGTTGATATCTTCACTCCAGCCACGTCCATCAGGGCGATATACAGCTGCCATCGCCACTAGCACCGTCATCTTAGCGCGTGTGGAGTCGGTAGACCGGATATAGATTTCAGAGTGGTTATATTTGGGCGAAAGGTAACTGCTATATCTACTTCGTATGAACTTACCCAGTTCGTAGGCTCTACGTTTTCCGAGCTAAAAAAATTGTATAGTGCAGAGTTATTGCCTATATACATCCCACTCCTGGGCACAGGCCTCCTCATATTTTTGAGAAGGTTTTAGATTAAGGAAATATCCACCGCGTTGCTCCAGTGCGTG